TGTTCTTTCTATCTAGGATAGGATACGTATTCAGTTGCTATCTTATCGTTTAATTATATACACGTTTTTCGAAACTGGTTGTCCCAAAGTTAAACTTCGGCATTATGATAAGGTATAATTCCATATTAAATCGTGTATTTGGTGTGATATTACTTAAGTTTCTAGCAGAATTTGTTGACGAAACAATAAGAAGACGTAAATTGTCTGGACAGTGTAATGTACTTGTGCAACACATTTCTAACTATCTGGTCACATACGTACTTGTCATAGGTATTTATATGGAAATTCATGAAGATAAGGGTTGAAAAAATGAAAAGACTTCAAGTAGGAAGGCTGAATAACACGGAAAATCAATAGAGTGAAAATAATAGTACATCGAACTTGGTTTTTATTGTTGAATTCACTAAGGGAGATTCAATGTGATAACAAATTGTTTTTGAACATACAAAGTGGTTCAAGCATCCTAACAGCTAAGGCCTTAACAAATTTGAGGATCCATCCCCATCTACCTTGTTATTCAAGGTTGATTAACACTTGAGTTGACTTTTTGGATAGCCCATAGATTTATTAGTTAAGAATGCATTTTCGTTTAGAAAGGAGGGAGTAAATGGATTAAAAATATATTCAAGTTGTGTAGAAACAGTGTTACATGAATGGTGGTTATGACTGAAAACGCACTTGCCCTTAGATACAATATTAAAATTACTATTGCTTGCATTTACAGGACAACTTCAGGCTGGTATTTATTACGAACTGACTTCAGTTGGGGAATTATCGGAAACCCGGGAGCAATGGGCAGCTGCTTTGCCCTAATATGGGACTCCTCAACAGTGAGCACCTAGGACCCGTATATATATCTTTATATATGATTTGCTTTCCAATAGAAGTTGTTTAGATAATGAATTATTTCTTACGTTGCTACATGAAAGTGCAGCATATATAATGTACATTAATGTGTATATCGATGATTAAATAGCATGTATTTAGCACTGATTAATAAATTAGTAAGCACTTTCAAACAAAAAAATGAAATTACTTATTCCACGAAAACCAGACCTCAGCTCACTGTTAGATGGTAGGAATACACTGAACTAAGTGGGTAGATAGTATATTTTATTTCTAATCGCAACTTACTTCGTTCTGAAGTTTGTGCCTAAGTTGTTGCCTAGAATGACAGTGAAAGCTTCAAGACGAAACCATCCAGCTCAGAGAACACAGCACCATCAAAGTTATGTGGCACAAGTAGCACATATTCAGTATTGAACTTGCAAGTAACTTGGACACTTATTTATTAATAATATGATACAGGAAGCTTGTAATAATTTGCTTGACATATCTCGAATAAATACTGTTTGTTTCTGCAGTACTGAGAGTACTGTCAGAGTACAGAGCATCTTAATTAGACCCCACTCTTTCATTGAGTTACCTGACAGGTTAATTCCTTCGTTTTAAGCGTAATCTAAATCTTCTAGGTTCTTTTCCGCGGTATAGCGTATCCCCCTTTTCTCACAGCTCCTCACTGTTTGTTGCCTGATCCAATCCACTACAATCAGGAATATCATGGGTTATAGTAGGCAGCCTTGTTTCACTCCTGTCTCCTGTCTTCACTTCAAAGGCATCATTGAGCTTTCCACTGTGGATCACTTCGCATGTAGCATCATCTACCATGTGGGTGTTGAATGAGGTTGGTAAAGGTTTGTGGCACCAAAACCGTAGTGTTGGCTCAGCTGCCTGTCAAAATACTTGTCGGTCGACGCTGTCGAAAGCCTTTTCAAAGTTGATGAAGTTGAGGTAGATGGTTGACTGGACTGGCATTCTATACTCTGTTCTATGATGATGCGTAGTGTATGTAGCGTTGCGATTTGGTCTGCACATGATTTGTACTTCCTGAATGCAGCCTGTTTCTGTTGTAGTTTTGAATTGAGTGCATGCTTTAGTCTTTCTAGGATGATGTGGCTTAATATTTAGCTTGCTTTGGGTGGACAGGGAGAGGAGCGTGATTCCGTGCCAGTTCTTGCAAACACTTAGGTCGTCCTTCTTCGGGAGTTTGACAAGATAACCCTTCTTCCAATCGACAGGTACCTTCCCTTCCTTCCACACCTTCTGCAATAGTGTTGTGATGTGAGCATGTCCGCTGTTGTCTCTGCGTTCGCTTTCAGTGCTTCTGGCACGATTCCATCCAGTGTTGCTGCTTTCCCACATTTCATTAGCTTTATGGGATTCAGGACTTCGACTTTTGTTGGAGGATTTGTGTTGAGTTGTAGGTTTGTGGCTGCAGATGGTATTTCTGGACGAAGTTCAGGTGGTGGTGGTGTTCGATTCAAGAGCTTTTCGAAGTGATCGGCCCATTGTTTCATTTGTTTGTCTTCTTTCGTAATTAAATTCCCTTCTTCATCTTTTATTGTTTTCATGTATGTTGATCTATTCCCTCCCAGATAGGAACCTGGTTATTTGATACAATGTTGTCAGGTCTCTGTGTCTCTTACCTGCAGCCTGTTCTGCTTCACTTGCCAGTGTGCCGTGGTAGTGTCTTTTGTCTTTCCGTGAACTCTTCCACACTTCTTTGTCCAGTGTTTTATAAGTTGTACTCAGTTCCTCTTCTCGTTGTGCATCCTTGCACTGGTTTATCTTCTGCTTCACCAGCTTCCTCTCCTCTATCAGCTTCCATGTGTCCATCGAGATCCATTCCTTGTCTTGTCTTATTTCTTCTTCATTCCTTATATGGCTATGCAGGTTTCTTTCCACATAGCTTTCAGAGTTCCAGTGCTCATCCACACATGTTTCTACTGGGTTGTTGCTTGATATCCCCCATTTTGTCTTGATGGCTGCCGTGAAGATGCCACTGGTAGTTTCTTCCTTCAGTTTCTGTTGTGGGTGTTGAACTTGGACTGTGGTTTATCACCAACTTCCTTGAAGGCTTCCAACTTGATTTGGAAGGTTTTAGGCTTTAATTATGACTTTAATTATGTACATTTTAAAAGTGATTATATGCTGTCCTAGTTAAATCTGTCCAGGTACGCTGCTGATGAGCTTGACTTGAAATAAATGAAATGACCATTCGGTGATCAGATCACTTATACGTAGCTACCTATCACTGATGTTGGGTGTGAGCCACCAACAAGTACTCAGGTCAGTTAACTGCATATTTCGGGCAACTTTGACGTTCATACTCTTGAAGCCAGTTGTAGTGTCGAGCAGACCACACTACGTGTTTATATGTGAATATATGCTTATCAATAGCTGATACATGATCTAGGTCGTATATACATTTTTCCCCTCTAGGAAAATGACCAACAAGTTGTGTCCTACTATGGATTTGTAGTGATATAATTAGCATAGTAAATTTTGGAAGAATTCTGCACTTATACTCACCTGAAAGCAAATGGTGTCAGACTGGATAGAATGAAACATATTAATCAGTATTTATTAAACCACAGAAAAATATTCGTCCCCATCCCGTCTTATATATGTTCTACTTTTGATCTTTTATCACTTCGGATAATCTTGCAATAAGTTCACTGTTTGAAATTATTACTTTTGTCTTTAACTATAGATAACAGTAGTGAAGGTGTACATTCTTATTATTTTCCACTTGTTCTTGTATTCTGACACTTTCGTAGTTGTATAACAACAGTTTTTATCACTCATGAATTCAACAGTTTAAGAAAAGTTCAAAGTGCTTAGTGAATAAAAGTTACCAGTGTAATCAGGTATCCAATGATCTAGATTCGTTTGACACTGAAAAACCTCCTAGTATCCTGACTTCACAATTTGCTACTGATAAGTAAGTTAACAGTCGTAGTTATTTTACATTACAACTTCAAATGTAGATGATTACACCATTTCAAATAGGCATAATTTAAATTCGGGGATTAGTTCTGTTTACCGATTACTATCCAGTTTTTAAAGTATGATCGTTTTTTGGCTTGTATGAGTTCATAGGCTGAATTTCTTGAGAAAAAAGTAGTCAGTCATGTTTTTAACACTTTAAGAATTCATCAGCCAGCACTAATTTTTATGTTTATCTGATTCAAACCTGTAATACAGTAGAAACTAATTTGTACCATGATAGTAGCAGAAATTTAAGGTAAGCAGAGGTGTAGGGGAACACAGGTTAGCAGTCTACACATTCCAACCTCACTGTAGTCACCAAGCGTGGAATTAGTCATGCAGCGTATCTGAAGGTGCTTTTAGTTACTGGTAAGGATATATTTAGATCCTATCAGAACTAAAGTTATGCTTAAACTTAAGCCACTTCCGTACAGATAAACAAGTGAAACAAACATTCAGTGAGATTAAAACAGCTTACATTATGCAAGCACTCTTAAATGTTCAGCAGCACAAAGGTCAAAATTAAGCTAGTAAATAGTCGTAGACATGAACTCAACTACCTACTTAGTATCATTTCAAAAGAATAAAAAGTGGCACTTATTCAATGCACACTTAATACTATGTATAAAGAATACACCGGCTATCTAATCAAAACGTAGACTTCTGTTAATAATGATCGCCACCGTCTCATAGTGTTTCCATTCTGTTATCTCAATGTTTCTTGCCTTCGTTTAATAAGTGTAGTTACACTAATTAACTATACGGGAACTTAAGTTGTCTAGCATTCAGATTTGTGTCTATTTGTGTGTGTGGGAATGTGTATGAAACAAAAATCACACTAACAACGTATTAAAAACAGAGAGTTACATTTCCGAAATTTAATTTTTACATCTGGTGTCAGGTAAACTAGGTTACAATGCTATGAAGAATAGTCAGAGATAAGAAGAAAATATCTTTCATGTCTTTAGAATTAGTGAAATATTCTGGTCTAAAAACCAGACAGACTGTAGAAATTTGAGAAACAATGTTTGCTTTTTCTCTAGATTTCATTTACTACTGCCACTATCATTATCATCATTTATGTAAGATAATTTTACAATTATTCTTGACCATCTGTTAAACGTTGAAGTAAGGAATTCTAGTTTATTGGAACCGCGTTTGTTTTACTAATGATGTACAAGTTAATCTCAACACTCATAATCAATAAAGATGAATATCTAGAAGACGAACAAGTGTCAGGGGGTAATGATAAATTAAAAAAAGGCAAACACATGAAGAAAATATGGTTAGTTGTGTTTAGAATATGATTTATAAACTAGATAAACTATCCACAAAAGCCTTTATTGATAAGTCCTATGGTGTGCTAAACAGCAATGCGCGAATTTGATGGAAATAAACTCAAATTACCATTTGATAAGAACTAGTAGTCCCTGGTTTGAGAGTTAGGTGAATCATGATCACTGTAAAATCACTTAACTGTTAACTTTAGATGTTCTGATAATTGAATGTCATGTTATAACGAATCAAGCTGGAATATTTAGGTGAGATTCTCACTAACATAATCCCATGGGTATGTGTACACTAGCTTGTAAACTAGACATATCAGAATTAATTTCTAACTGGCTGCTGCTATTTGAAGTGTTGATCTGGTTTGAAATCACAAATATCCGGCAAGCTATACTTCTGAAAACAATCATCCCTTAAGTTTATGCCACATGAAGAGTGTCCGTTGGATAACAGTAGAACAGAAGTTGTATAGAGCTGCCTTTATGAGACTTGATATCAGGTGTTCTTCATGGATGACCAGTATCCCTCACTAGTGTTGCGTTTCATATCGAAATGGTGGGTTAGGAAAGGTCAGTTTGTGTAGAGCAATGTCATTTGTCTTGGTCACTTAAGCAAGAAGATATTCAAGGATGATAGCAAGACTAGATTATAGTCAAAAGTAGGGTTGTGTGGTCAGTTCAGCTTAAATGGCGTCAGGAATTCTGAAGGCCTGATTCAAAAAAGTTCGGATATGGAAAAGCATTTTTTTTATCATCTTAATTATCTTTCTGTGTGTAATATAGTTTATTAAACATAAGGATTCTCTAATTCGCATCTAATATCTGTTCATTTCGCGCGATGTTAGAGTTTATTGAGGTAAATCGTTAGTATCAAGGATAATCAGGCAAGCGTTTATATTCACACATGCATGGACCTATGTAGCCAATATTTTCGGCGGTTAGTAATTTGATCACCAATATAATCAATGTAGGATGGGGTTAATAACATTTTTTTGGAGTGTAACCAATAGATAAAGTCTTGAACTACTGTAAAGTACATTCTAGACAAGTATATCACCTTCATATGATCATTTTGGCTCCATTTCTCAAACAGTGCAGATCTGCAAATAAGTCAGCTAATATTTATTGTTCTTGAATTTCTGTTATTTTATTCTAAAGTGCTGTGTATAAAGAAACTGAACAGCTCCATCATCTTTGAATTTATATTGGAGAGTTTTTTGTCTTAATACCTTGGATGTATATTCAGCATATTTGGAAAAAACAGCATTCTATATCGAGTGATAGGACTATGATGATTTGAAGAGTTGTCTGCATATCTGAAGATATCTTGATATCGTAATTGTTTAAGGTCATTTTATCCAAATATAGTGCTTCTACTGGGTATACTGTGAAATTCTCCCAGCGTGTCAATAAGTGACTTTAAAGGCCACCCCAACTAATCAGACAACCAATTAGAGTTCTGTATTTAGTGGAAAACTGGCTTTCAAGGTGAAATACAAGTTGGCTATTTCAGTAGTTGCTAAGGTGGCCTTTAAAGTCATTTGTATCAATCAAATTTGATTCTGTGATTGCATGTGAAGATTCACATCAGCAGTGAAAAATTGCTTTATTTACTAGTATCCGATAATCATTTTATCCATAAAACAATTAGTCTATCCAGTACAGTGGTACTTAAAATTGATCAAAAGGGCTTCTAGGACAGTGTTCTTGTTGTCTTCATAGGCTTAAATTAATTATCTAGAAAGACAAAAATATGCTGTTAAAATAACATTATGAAAAGTGAATTGTGTCCAACATATAAAGGAAAATCGACCACAGAATTATCAGTTTACCTTCTAGCCTCCGGAAAGTTTGACGTGAAAGTGGATTTTGAATAGCATACAGCTATCTGCGAGTATTGTTTTTAATACCCTACAGTTTGCCTGGGGTTTGTAAAAGCAAAGACTAGAAAGCTGGTAATATCAAAAGTGGTTGATTCACACAAATCAGATATCAATCTGCCAGGGAATGTCTGAGATAAATCTCTAGCAGCTACTAGAATGACCAGTCAGTTTCTTTCATTTTATGAAATTGGGAAACCTAACCGCATACTCCAGTGATCTTGAGAGTCACTGTGGTCATCCGGGTGATTATAAAGACCACGTTAACAACCTCTGAAGTGATCAATTCCGTTTGTTTACTTCCTCTGGGAGCGTGGTTTTTTCACAAATTGAAGAAACTCCATTGTTTACCTCAGTAGTTGTTTGAATGTCTTTTAGATTCACTCAGTCATTCACTTTGATATAAAGTAAACCTTGAGAATATAATGCAAATATATGTTATCTACAGAAAGAAACGGATAGGTGAATCACATAATGTTTGTTTGCACTAGGCCATAAACAATTAATAAGCAAATATAGAAAAGTACAAATGAAATTCAAACAGTTTGAAGTACTTTCCAATCTGATTTCGGTTAGATTTACTTTATCTTAACGACTTTATGCATTCAATAAGAAGCAGAAAGATGATGCAATTAAGTTGGTATGACGGTTTTGATGAAGTTGTGTTCACTAAGCTGGATTATGATGGTCAGTGTTTTATCTTTGTTTATAGATGGATATAGTGCTGGTAGTAAATCTCACTGACTGAAATAGGCTTAATTGTCCAAAGATAAGTCGCAAGTATCATTCCGTTTCATTGTTGCTAATCCTATATTGGTAAATATGTTATTAGTTCTCTGTCAGTCAGTGGATAGCTACAGACAAAAATGTATTGAGTCTCTGGTACCTTCTAAAAGTTAGATAACATCTTGACAATACGAACCAGTACCTGGTCTTAAGACTGAATCGATAACCTTTGAAATTGTAGGTAAATTAGTCAGGATTTAAAACACTGGGATTCATTAACATAGTCAACGTGTCTGCCGGGACATAACTTCAACAGCTAACTTTGTTTCCATGGTTAATAATGACAGAGAATTAAATTCAGGAGTGAGATGTGGGACTTTATATTGGCTAGGGTTAAATAGTCAAACAACATGGTATTTTTAAGTATTCCAAGACTGGACCTGCTTAGAACAATGACTTAGGGTTATTGATATTAATGTTAAGATGAAGACTAAATTATTGGAGAATCTGAGAGAAAATTTGAATTTTCATCTAGTGCTTCTTCAGCTGAAATAATCAATCAGTCAGTGGGTTCATCTCTAAATCACTAAAAAGGTTGCCATATGTTTAGATTAGCGAAATTTGTCGGTCGGATTGGGTTGTTGCTAGCCACTCATTTTTTTCATTGGTATATCTCAGTAATTCGGACACTGCTGTATCACAGATCACAATTTGAAATTTCTTTTGTATATTTCTGAATAGAAACTCTATCTATCCCTAGTTTTGGTATTTGGAAAACTACTTGTCTGTGAAAAGTTTCAACCTGAGTTGAACAAATTTATACTGGGTGATGGCTGAAGGTGAGATAAAAACTTAGGAGTGGAACCAGCGACCACCGGGTTTGTGGACTGGTAATCCATCAACTGAGCCACGAGATGCGAAAGTTGACTATATATTTTTATTTTACTTCACTCATCTAGTGAAGTGTTGGTCATATGCATCTGGAATGAAGTCATTTTAGTCTGAAAAGCCTAGACTTCTTTGATGAAAAAACTCGAGAAAAGTGAAATTTTTACAATTCCTAAAGCTTACATATGCCTGAATCACTGAATCACCAAAGAATGATTAGACCATTCAGTTATTTAATTAAATTACTAACTGTTACATGATTCGTTGAAGGAACTACACCAATCAGAGTTTAGATTGGCACCGATGGAGTATTTTTCATTAAATGTATGCGCATACAGACACGGTATGGTGATTAATATGCTTATGTCATATGTAGAATGATTTTTTATGATTGAATAAACAGAGAGTAAACTATGCATATATTTCATCTGTTTCGACCTACTGCCATCGACCTATTGATTAAAAATGACCGCAGAATTCGCACATTTACGAATTAGTTAACTTGAGTTGTCTACTTCACTGTATTTGTTAGTTTCTTTCTGTGTTCATTGTCGCGTGTGTGCTGCTTGTTTTTGCATAACCACCTGTTTGAGTGTATCCATGTCTGTGTGTATGACCTCTGTGCTTTTCAGCTTATAAGTCAAAGGAGATTGAATCACTTTGCTTTTAGATTGAATGATTGTTGCTGTGTATGCGTGTGTGTGTATGTGTGTGAATTTTTGTCATTTGATACTCTGTGTGTGTGTGTGTGTGAGTGTATTTGTATGTGTTGCTGTGATATAGGAAGTGGAGTGTATCAAGTATCAAAACTACGACTGGCATTCAAAATTCATACGTGATGAAGTTTGCGAATAAATAAAACAATTCAGGCTACACAGAAGGTAAGTTCAATATTTTTTAAGCTGAATTGATCATTTAAAAAAATATGTAATCTATTTGTATGTAAGCACAGAATTTTGGTCGACAGTGAGATTAAACACCACAGTTTTCTAGTATCGCTTGCTTTCTAGGCTGAACAGCAGTTCATAAACTCTGCACGCATTTACACTAAATGTAGCGCAGTACCCTTCTTCTCGAAATCTGAGGTAGTAGAATTCGAAGTAATAGCTAAATTCTGCTCAAGGTAGCATACTGAAACAAATCTTTAGGTATCTTCTCGACATGTCTGTGAAAAAACAACCAACTGCAGGATATCCTAGTTTCCGACCGGTCGGATTTTACAAAAAGCCTTCCAGTTAGGTCCAGTTTTACGGGAAAAATGGCACGAGTTGAAATAGGACTTGAGTAACTCATTTTTCAACCAGACAGTTTACTTCAGACTATCACAGCATTAGTTTGTGAAGTTTTCGAACTTTTTCAGTGGTCTAAAGTCATATCCAGTCATGTATCTAAATGCTTAAACGTGCACTTTTGTTTTTATAAATTATACACCAGTCCTTATTTGTTCCAGGAAGGTCTGGTTGTTTTGCTTAACAGTATCCTGGCAAAGTAATAGACTAAAGATGATGGACTGACTTGTTCATAAGTATTATTCACTGCATATTATTTAGGTTGACTTTCTCAAATCAGGCTATTGATAACAGCCAGTGTCTAACGTCCCCTTATATACCGTCCTATAGATAGAAAGTGATAGGATATTAAATCGAGTTTACTCGAGTGACTTCATAAATTCATCATCTCCTACCAAAAAACATACATACAACTTGTATTCATTATCTCTTTAAGCGGTTTATATCTACCTTTGTTGCATCATTATTATTTTTAAAGTGAAGGAATTTTGTAATTGATTGTAACATAACTCATCAAAAACTGAAGGGCTTTCTCATCTCGTTGGCCGTCAGTGGGTAACGCATATGCCTATTTATTCCTTAATGTGCAGCCTTAATAGAAGTCTCTCAAAAAGTTTTGAGCTCAATGGCCTGAATAGCCAAAGTAGAGGAAAATCCTCTGGCTCCAACACTTAGTGACATAGGTTGGAATCACCGAGAAAATACCGGTTTCCTAATTATTGCAAGCATGCCTAGCTACTGGGTGCCAACAGGCACGAAACACTAGTCTAGGGTTTCCTATCGATTGAATCCTAACATATGACTGAGAAATTTTTCCTCTTGGCATGAAACAGCTAGTCATATTTTCCTCTGGGATGAAATATATACTGATGAGCATGTTAAAGCACTGGATCACTGTTCATTTACTTAAGATTTTATGACTTGAGACAAGATATGATGTATTCAGACAAGTTTGTATTTTTAAACATCAGTTTACACTTTAGACTCAATAAGTCGTATAATTTAAAACTATCTTTTTCCTTTATATGCTCAGGAAACAGTAGTGTAAACTGCTGTACGGAGTAAACGCCGGCAGAAATAGTGTACGAAAAAGATTTGTAAATGGTTTTTAGCACAAGCCGGCCTCAGGTGCATAAACACTGATAATTTGGGAAAGATTGTAAAGTTGCTTCATTGCATTTTGAAACTGTTTAGCAGCCCTAATATAGAATAACTTTGAAGCAGAAACTCACACCTTCAACAAGGAGCACGTCATCACTTCGTCACTGGATAAAATTATCCATATTCTGTTAGTTTCGGATAAAATGCAATTTCACTTTATCTGTTTGACTGACTGATGAGTCATTCAGTTGAAAAGCGCTATTTAATGCTCACAAACATATCAGAGTAACTATAAATGAGATATGATTTCTTATTCTTAGGTTAGAGAACCAGCAGAACTTGAAATTAATATTTGAGCATACTTATTTATTAGGAGGAAAACTCTATTACTACTTGTTGATAAACCTGTAATCATCCGTTGTTATACTGGGTCGAACTTTTCGACCTCCGTTAGTATATGGGGTTCTATGCGGATCCCTCGACATTGTTTGGATATTTGCTATTCGGCATTCGAAGCGATGAGTGCGATGTTTAAGTCTCACTGGGAAAGAAACCCACTGGTTTGTTGGTAAGTGAGGCTTATGAGTCCCAAGTAGGACGAAACATGCTTCCTGGATTCTTCTGCTAGCCGCAACTAAATAAGTTATAAGAAAACTCAGTTGTTTAAGAAATCTCCTTCAACCTTATAAGTGAGATAAGTAAACCTATATTATTCTATTGAAATAAGTCATACAAATAGAACACATAGCTAGTTGAGATCATTTGTATAATAAGGTTGAATGAAGTGAATTAGGTTGGTAAACATCGATGAGGGAAATAAGAGTGCGAAAAGCTCATTTTTGGTTATGTATGGAGTAAAGAATATTATTCAGTAGAGTGAGATATGAATTAACATCGTCAAGTGGAGAGAAATATACTTAAAAATTCTGTGAAGTGAAAAACCAAATACATGAAGCTGTAATAATGCATAATTTGTCTCAGAAATTCGGAGAAGTTTGTGACTTCTTTAAAAATGCACATTGGAATATTGGAATCACAAACTTCACATTCCCTAATTGTGTGTTTTCTTTAGTGTGACTTAAGACAATAGATTTTAGAGGCACCTATGATTTGATGGAAGCTCTTTGCTCCATTGTTAGTGGAACCAAGTATGCAGCACTTTTCAGGATTCTTTATCCTAGATGAAACAATTGTCTTGACTATGAGAAATATTCCCATTAGGACATGAAACAAGAACAAGTAATTCAATGAAGAGTGTCTTTTCAACAACTTCGTTCCTAAAGCCATACAACCTTAAATTTAATAGTGAAAAGTAGTTTGAAAAACGTGGCAAAAACCCGGTAGTCGCTGGTTTGAATCCGGCCAGGGTCCAGATTCTCATTCAGTCTTCAATCATCACCCAGTGTAAACAAAATTAGTGTCAGTAAATGAGCTGTCATTAAAACCAACAACTGTGAAGAATGATGAGGAATTAATCAAAGTGTAAGAGGAGTAAGATTATTGAGTTTAGATAAGAAGGTGGGTAACACGACAAAATATTTGTGTGATAACAAAGGGCATAAAGTCAAAAGCCACCGGTGAATTGCGTAACAATTGAACAGTGTAGGAAGTAATTTCAAATACTGAAAGTTAAGGCCATGAACGAAAAAGAGCTTGAACAATTTTCTTTTGTGTTCAAAGCCTAGATCTCTCTCTTATAGATTGCAAGGGCTTTGGAAATGCACAGAATACGATGATATGCAGCCTTTTGTAGGTTTTTTCCCAACTTGATAAATTATTTTTGAATTAGAAGGCTCTTGACAGTGAGTGACACATTTTAACGAAGTGTTCAATTATGGCACTCCTAATCGATCCACTGTTACTTCTTTGTAACCACGTGGGATACTGTTCTTGGATAACTCTCAGATCGAACATCCTATATACCCGGGTACACAAGAGAAGGCAAACTGATGCACGTAAATGAAGTGGTCGGATAAGGAGCTTTCTCCTTCAGGTTGTTAGAAAAAACTGGATATCTGGAGGATGCTAGCCTCAATGCTGATATGAAGATTTTTCTTTTTCGAGAGTTTGTTCTCGTAATCCTTACACTGTCAACCGAAGAATCAATTTTAAAACTGAGATCAATATAAAACATCTTTCTGGGTACGGTGGAGGGGTTCTCTCTTCGAGATTTCTGGTTGAAACTTTTGTCAATTAGTTACGGTAGGAATACGTTTCCAATCGTAGTGTCTCTTCGAACAGAAATTCCCTCTTCCAGCACATATGATTAAATTTCGTCTGCTACTGATAGTCACTTGAACATTCCAGAACGGTTTTCCGTAAATTGATCTTCTAACGTTTCATCAGCTTTTTTTATCAGCTCTGAATCAAAAAAGTGGATCTTTGATCCATTTTCTACCTCAAGAGTGAATCTACTTGCTGAGTGGCACCTAGTGACTATTTGTAGTATGTGATTCAAGCCACATTAGTTATTCCAAATAACAAAAGTATCGTCCACATACCTTTCCTACAGTTGAAAACCATTGATCATTAGCTTCAAGAGTCTGTTCTCCAAACTGACTATAGAGTCTAATAGTTGTAGATCTAGTAAAGATTCCACGGCGATGCCATCTTTTTGTTGATATATCACGTCATTAAAGATGAATTGAACACTAACTGGGCTTCTCAGTAAAAATTTCTTGAGGGTATTCTTGAATTTCTTGGTTCTTGTTACTTCTTCAAACAAAGTTCGATGCCTAGTGAAAAGTTTACGGGATTTAATAGATTCCCTTTCAAATATAGCCTACTTGTATAATAAAGCAAATGACGTTTTAAGAGGTTTACATAAAACATAGTTGTGATGAATCATTTTTTAAAAGTGACAGTCATATATATATATATATATATATATATATATATATATGCATAGATTCAAGCAAACTGTCAAATAATTTTGTGATTCACTTGTCTAAATATGATGTCAAAAGGACCAAAATAACCAGAACTAGAATTCAGTATTTCTACAATTAAAGGATAATCGATTGACCAGTGTGCTTAGCTCAATTTAGCTAGATGGTCAGAATGGTTTTACACTGCCAAAGTTGTAAATCGAAAATTAATCTATCTTTCTGCACCGATCACATGGACTTATTGATTTTTAATCTATTTAACTAAGGACAAATTTAGCATATAATTTGTATCTCCTGTTTTAAAGCATAACTTTGCTTCATTTCTGTCTTTAGTCTGTTTAAAAATTGCATAAATAAAGCTACAAATGTTTGTTTCTAGGTTTTAGACTTTTATGTATCATATTTTATTGACTATATTTCAGAAGTATCTAATTGAAGTGTTTCTAATAGAATACACAACAGACTAGTTTAGTGGGTAGCTAAAAGTACTTAGTGTGGCATACAAATAACTTGGCTTTGTGTTTATTTTCATCCGTCAATAAAGCCTGTCTTCAAATTTTAGGAAATGTATTTACAAATCCATGGTGAGTAGCACCGCAACGA